CCCTTTGTGTTCGTCATTTTGGTTAATTACTGGAAGATGGCGGTTCCGGCCAAAAGCATGTACTATTCCTTTTGAAAAAGTTCTTGATCTCGCGCAGAGAGCAAAATCTTGTATTTGAAACGAAAGGAGACTACTGCCGTTCTTTAGTTGAAGTTGGTGCTGGTGATGACAAGAAAGAGATTATGGGACAGTCACAAGCTTACCAAGAAGCTTTCTAAATCAGCAAAAAAGGAGATGAAACTAACGTGTCCTATCAGATTGGACTGGCCTTTGATTTCTCTATGTTCTTTATGAGACTTGAACTCTCCAGACGAGGCTTGCTCTCTTTCAAAGACAGTTTTTGATGAAGCCATTGCTGCACTTACACATTAAATGAAGAGTCAGAAGAAGACACTGCACTAATAATGCAATTACCGAGAGACAACCTGACATCATGGGTATGATAGCCAAGGAGACAGAAGATGAAAATGGAGGGGGAATCAACTGGCCTTTCAACTTTTGTCTGCCTCATTCTAAAATGTACACAGTAGCAAATGTACCATTTGCTATCTATGCTGTCCTACCATTTTTGTTTAAAATTTATGACAAGTTTGTTATATTTGTTTGAATTTCATGATTCAATACTTGGCTGAGGCTCCTGTATTTACCTTTTTTTTTTTTTAGATTAAAAAAAATCACAAAGCACTCATTGAACACAGTGACGGCTGCAGAGGTTGGTGCATGAGCTTCGTGAGTTGAGGCAGGCCCACACAGGAGCAACCATATCTAAGGGACCTGTAGTTGGCACTGATCTCAGTACCACCTACTCTTGCATGGGTGTCTTCCGGCATGGAAAAGTAAAGATAACTGACAATAATCAGGGGAACTGAACCCCTCCAAGCTATGTCGCCTTTACCGATACCAAAAGATTAATTAGTGATGCTACAAAAAAATCAGGTTGCAATGAATCCCACCAACAGTTTTTGATGCATTTGATAATGTTGCTGTCCAGTCTGATATGAAGCACTGGCCCTTCATAGTGGTGAACGATGCAGGCAGACCCACGGTGCAAGTAGAATACAAAGGAGAGACAAAAAGTTTCTACCCAGAGGAGGTGACATCTATGGTTCTGACCAAGATGAAGGAAATCATAGGAGCCTAGCTTGGGAACACTGTTACCAATGCTGAGGTTACTGTGCCAGCTTATTTTAATGACTCTCAGTGTCAGGCTACCAAAGATGCTGGAACTACTGCTGGTCTCCATGTGCTTAGGATTATCAATGAACCTACTGCTTCCGCCTACAGTTTAGACAAAAAGGTTGGAGCTGAAAGAAACATGCTGATCACTTGGGAGGTGACACTTTCAATGTGTCCATCCGCAATAGTGAGGATGGACTTTTGGAGGTCAAATCTACAGCTGGAGATACACACTTGTGCAGCGAAGACTTGGACAATTGCATAGTCAACCATTTCACCACTGGGTTTAAATGCAAGCATAAGAAGGACATCAGTGAGGATAAGAGAGCTGTCCGGCGCCTTCGTACTACTTGTGAACATGCTAAGCATACCCTCTCCTCTAGAACACAGGCCAGGACTGAGATCGATTCCCTCTATGAAGGATTCAACTTCCAGACCTCTATTGCCCATTGCCATTTTGAAGAACTGAACACAGACCTGTTCCGTAGCACCCTGGACCCTGTTGAAAAAGCCCTTTAGGATGCCAAACTAGACATGTTACAGACCCATGACATTGTCCTGGTGGATGGCTCTACTCGTATCCCTAAGATTCAGAGGCGGCTACTTCTTCAACAGAAAGGAACTTAATAAGAGCATCAACCTTTATGAGGCTGTTGCTTATGGTACATCTGTCCGGGCAGCCATCTTATCAAGTGACAAATCTGAAAATATTCAGGATTTGCTACTCTTGGATGTCACTCTTCTTTCCCATGGCACTGAAACTCCTGATGGAGTCATGACTGTCCTCATCAAGCATAATACCACCATTCCCACCAAGCAGACACAGACTTTCACTAACTACTCCGACAACTAGCCTGTTGTGCTCATTCAGGTTTATGAAGGTGAGCAGGCCATGACTAAGGACAATAACCTCTTGGGCATGTTTGAATTCACAGACATACCTCTGGCACCCCGTGGTGTTCCTCAGATTGAAGTCACTTTTTATACCGATGCCAATGGCATCGTGAATGTCTCTGCTGTGGGTAAGAGCACAGAAAAAGAGAACAAGATTACTACCACTAAAAATAAGGGTCGTTTGAGCAAGGCACACATTGAGTGCAAGGTTTAGGAGGCTGAGAAGTACAAGGCTGAAGAGGAGAAGCAGAGGGACAAGGTGTCTTCCAAGAATTCACTAGAATCTTATGCATTCATCCTGAAAACAACTGTGGAAGATAAGAAATTTCAAGGCAAGATCAATGAAGAGGACAAACAGAAGATTCTTGACAAATATAACAAAATCAACAGGCTTGATATGAACCAGACTGCAGAGAAGGAAGAGTAGGTGTATCAGCAGAAGCTGAAAGTCTGTAACCCCATCATCACCAAGCTGTACTGGAGGGCAGGAGGCATGCTCGGGGAAATGCCCGGGGGCATGCTGGGGGCTTTCCTGGTGGGGATGCTCCTCCATCTGGTGATGCTTCTTGAAGACCCACCGTTGAGGTGTTTGATTAAGCCAACTCAAGTATAGGTTACGTAGCATTGCTCCACGCAGTAAAACACTGAAGGACCCCCATTTGTAGTGAATTCTGGGGCAGTCTTAAAGTTTAGCTGCTATCGTGAATTACTGGGCATTCTCAATACATGAATATGGAACATGTGCACAGGGAAAAATAACATTGCGCTTCATAAGCACTGTATCGTTAAGTGGAAAATCCAACGTCTTAAACAAAACCATCTAAAACTGGCACCATAAAAAAAGAAAAGTACACAGCACATGTCAGTAAATCAGCAAGATCTAGATCTGGATAGTACTACGGCTGTGGAAGATGTTATAAATACTGAAGAAGAGTTTATCAAAGATTATGAAGAAATATGGAAAGATCTGGAACTGAGACACTCACTCACTGGTTCAACTGCTCAGCTGTCATTATTAATTATGCAAGGGAAATGTCTGATGGCTGAACTCACTCGGTGGCACAATGAAACGCCTGAAATAATTCCCCTGACTGAAGATGTTCTGGTCACATTAGGAAAAGAAGAGTTCCAAAAATTAGGACATAATCTCAGTACTACCTACTAGTCAGTCAAAGAATGAGACATTAAGGGACCAGCAGTTAGCATAATGGCTATGTCGCTGGACTCCCACGTAGTCGACCACGGTTCAAGTCCCAGACCCGGCGGCTTAAACTCATGCTGGGCGCATGTGCATGCGTGCCCAAGATCCCAAGAGGAGAATGAAGGAGACGGGATTGTGGTGTGGCCATCCCCCATGGAGGGTGATTTCTCACTTTTTGTCTCTCTGTCTGTCTGGCGAGCGCACGCACCCTGTAGCAAAAACCTCTTAAAAAAACAAACAAACAAACAAAAAAACAAACAAACAAAAAATAGAATGAGAAGTTAAAGGAAGACTTGGAAAGGGAGCTGCAGTGGTTGGATGAACAGCAACAGATAATGGAGTCTCTGAATGTACTACACAGTGAATTGAAAAATCAGGTCATGACTTTTTCTGAATCAAGAATCTTGAATGAGCTGCAAACTAAAAGGCTTAAGGTAAAAGAATATAGGGAGAAACTCTTGATTACCTCAGGTGAATTTTTAGAAGATCATTTTCTTCTGCCCGATGGAAATGCTAAAGAGAAAAAGAAAAACATCCAAAAATCAACAGCACAGCTAATAACACTGCATAAGATCTTACAGATTCTTATAGACTATGTGATGTTCCACATGATCCATATGTCGAAATTAGTGCTTCCCTTTGGCCACCTTATATTGAGCTGCTGCTATGTAATGGAATTGCCTTGAGACACGCAGAAGATCCTACTCAAACTAGATTAGAAGGCTTCCATCAGTAAAAGGATGATCTTTTTTTTTACACAGTAAAGAATCATGTCATTCAAGGACAATGGAAACACAGGACTATTTGGATAAAAAGCATAATTGCAAATCCAAGAACACAGTCCATCTTCCTTTTATCCTTACATGACACATGCTACCATCTACTATTCACTATGGAATGGTCCTTTCTTATTTAGTCAGTACATTGGTGTTTGTATTTTTTTGTTTGTTGTGAGAGGTTTTTTTGCTATAGGGCACATGCGCTCTCCAGAAAGACAGAGACAGAGAGATAGAAAGTGAGAAATCATTCCTCAAGGGGGATGGCCATGCCGCAATCCCTTCTCCATTCTCCTCTCAGGATCTTGGGCGTGCACACACACATGCACACACACACACACACACACACACACACACACACACGCGCGCGCGCGCGCATGCGCGGCGTGAGTTTAAGTCACCGGGTCTGGGACTCGCTCTGCAGTCAACTATGTGGGAGTCCAGCGACAGAGCCATTACACCAACTCCTGGTCCCAGTGCTTTGGTGTTTTAAACTGTATGAAGACTGCAAATAAAAAGCACTCTAGACTTACAAAGCATTTAATGTACTTTACTTCATACAATAGTCTTTGAAAAACTTAATTCATGATAGTGCTAGTGTAATATTTTTCTTTTCAAATTTATGATGGTATGTTTTATGCATTTTGCATTCAAATTGGTGCTTCTTTATATTTTGGAATTATAATGTAAAGATTATTTTATTTGCAAATGGCTTTATAACTGAAGTAATAATCTGATATAAAAAGAGGCATAATTTAAAATATTTAGTAAAAATGTTTCATCTGGGGACCAGCAGTTAGCGTAATGGCTATGTCACTGGACTCCCCCGTAGTCGCCTGTGGTTCGAGTCCCGGACTCGGCGACTTAAACTCACACCGGGTGCGTGTGCGTGCATGCCCATGATCCCAAGAGGAGAAAGGAGGAGAGGGGACTGCAGCGTGGCCGTCCCCCCTAGAGAGTGATTTCTCGCTTTCTGTCTCTCTGTCTCTCTCTGTCTTTCTGGCGAGCGCACGCACCCTATAGCAAAATCCTCTCCTTGCCTTATTTCTTATTGCCTTATTTCTAGATATGTAAAAAAGTTGGGATAGAAACATACTAATGGACAAAGCTAGCCCAGAGAACTATATTTTTTGTTGTGTGTTATTACCAAGTGAGATTGTGCATTAATCTAATTTTGTGAAGAATTCTTTTTCTTTACTTATTTATTTTTATTTATTTATTTTAATTTGACAGAGAGGGACAGAATGAGAGAGACAGAGAGAGAGAGAAGAAAAGTGAGAAATCAAGCTGCCAGGTCCAGTACTTAAACCATGGCCATGTGGGAGTCTAGCACCCTTAACTACCATGCCACCTGCCAGCCCTGTATTAACCCTTTTTTATTCTGCTAGTCATTACCAACGAAACTGTTCATGACATTTTGTTAATCCTTTATGAACTATACATAAAGAAAATTCTCTGAAAACCTTAAAAAAAAAAAAAAAGAAACAAACAAACAAAAAACAAAGAATCAAAGAGCCCCTTTCTCAGTGCTATGGACTGAATGCTTATATCCCCCACAAAATCATATGCTGAAGTCCTAATGCAATGGTTTTGGCAGTGGAGCTTCTGGAAGGTAATTAGGTCTTGAGGGTAGATGCCCCATCATGGGGCATCTTTCCTTTTTTTTTTTTTTTAATTTGCCAGAGGGTATGCACACTTGCCAGGGAGAGACAGAGAGAGTCAAAGGGAAAGTGAGAAAAGCACCCCTATGGGGAATGGCCACACTGCAAACTCTCCTCCTCCAGGATTTGGGGTACACACGCACACACGCCTGGCATATTTCTCAAGTCATCAGGTCCAGGACTTGAATCACGCAGATGGCCATGCGGATCCAGTCATTTTAACCACTGCACCATGGGCTGGCCTGAGTTGCTGTTCTTGTAAGTAAGAGGAAGTGAGCTAGCGCTCCATCGTCCTTTCATGTAAGGATACAAGAAGACAGCATCTGTAAACCAGGAAGGGAGGCCTTGTCAGACACCAGATTCCCCATACCTAAATCTTGAAAGTCTAGCCTCCAGAATTGTGAGAAATGAATGTGTACTGTGTAAGTGACCCACTCTATGGTATTTTTGTTACTGCAGCAAAAACTGACTAAGAAGATACTTGGGGTAGCTGTAGCTATACATAGCTTGATGAGCAGAGTGTGGGCCGGATTCCAGACACCACTCAATTTTACAGCCAAGAACCCCCACACAATGAACAACCTGCCCAGCCACACGCACTGGCCCTAATACAAGTTCTCCTTACACCTCTCTAGGTATGACTCTGAGTCTAAGGAGGGTAGAAATTGAGTGAGATACCGTGATTAAAAGATGAGAGTTAATTTTTTTTTTTTAAGAGAGATTTTAGGTATAGGATGTGTGTGCTTACCAGAGAGACAGAAAGCAAGAAATCACCCCTCCAGGGAAGATGGCCACGCTATAATCCCTTCTCCTCCATTCTCATCTAGGGATCTTGGGCATGCATGCACATGTGCCCAGCGTGAGTTTTAAACAACGCCGGGTCCAGGACTTGAATTGCTGTTAAATACAGGGAGTCCAGTGATGTAACCATTATGCCATCTGCTGGTCCTGAGTGCTAACTACTGTTTAACATTTTATTTAACTGGCCCAGCAGGTGTGGTGGTTGTGGTGCTGGACTCCCACATGGCCAACCATGGTTCAAGTCCTGGACCTGGCAGCTTGCTTTCTCGCTATCCCTTTCTCTCTCTCTGGTCAAATTAAAATAATAATAAACAAAATGAATAATTAATTTTAAAAAACTATTTATTACTTACTATTACTTAATTTTCCTACTATAGATATAAGAGCCATACTTTAGTAATATAAAACTTTTTAATCTTGAAGTAATCCCCTTTCAGAATTTGTAACTTGGGGACCAGCCGTTAGTGTAATGGCTATGTTGCTGGACTCCCACGTAGTCGACCGTGGTTCACGTCCCGGACCCAGTGGCTTAAAACTCACCCCAGGCATGCGTGCCCAAGATCCCGAGAGGAGAATGGAGGAGAAGGGATTGCGGCATGGCCGTCCCCCCTGGGGGGTGATTTCTCGCTTTCTGTCTCTCTGTCTCTCTCTGTCTGGCTGGTGAGCGCACGCACCCTATAGCAAAAACCTCTCCAAAAAAAAAAAGAATTTGTAACTCACTTTTTTCTAATTCTATGCCTGCTTGGAACTCCTGCTCAGTATTTTACAGGCAGATCTTTCCATTCGTCTTTTCTGAGAGGAAAGGGGTAATTAGTAGCTCGACCATCTGTCTTGAGACTAAACTGGAATCTGTGGAGGCAGGATGCTACCTTCTGCATTAGTACCCTCCTCGCTCTGCCCCACGCCATCATTCCACTGTCCGCTCAGGACATGGCACCAGGCAGTGAACCCAGGCCATTTGATACCTGTGCTCACGTACCGCTACGCAGTGCTTCTCAAACTCTGGTGTGCCTGTGTACTGATTCCAGAGATCCCACATGCTGCCTTGACATCACGGAGCCTCCCAGGGTCCCAAAGCTCTAGTTACAAGTTCCCTTGCCCTCTCCAAATAAGTCTCCCCAGCAGGAAAGACTCCTTCCCAAGTAGTTCTCCATGTGCTGCTTTTAGATTTTTGTAGCGGCTATCTAACATTTATGATTCCTATCCTCTCCGTCAGTCTGCTGAGTCAAGAGTCAGACAAATGATCAAAGACATTTATATCTTCCCTCCAAGGGGGGTTTTTAATGGGTGCTCTGAAGACATTACAGTTCCCCAACTGCTGACCCTGATCTGCCTGTTCTCACTTCGTACATAACAGAGGATGTCCCTACCTAGTCACTCTCAGCCACTAGTCATAAAAGCATAGTCCCATTGCCCTTCTCCGTCTGCTTCCTGACCCCTGCATGTGGCACACTTTGTGTGGCCCGATGTACCATGACATGCCTCTCATTTCCAGTGAAACCATAAGTATTAAAAATCCTCCAGTAGTACTAATTAGTAGTACTAATATTGTCACCCAGTTCCTTTATAAATTAAGACCTGGGCTTAAATGATCCTAGCATCTGGACAAACTGCACTCCCAGTCCCAGATCTTCAAGATAACAGGTTTTCCCTCTCTACCAGCCTATGAGATTATTCGGACAAGTCAATTCCATCCTCTGTGGGAACCAAGGGCCACCCCACCCTCCTGTCCCTGTAAAGTCACCCTAGCACAGCACCTCTTGGTTTCATCTGTCCCCATGTACGATCTCCATGTAGCCCAGCATGGAGGGCAGTGTTCTCTTCTCCTGGGCTGTGAATAGACGTGACTAATGAACCCTGCCAATATCTGTGCTGCTGTAACAAAGTACCACAGACCAGGTCATTTATAAATGATAGAAATGTATTTCTCACAGCTCTGAGGGCTGGGAAATCTAAGATCAAGGCTCCAGCAGATTGTAAGTCTGGCAAGGGCCTTCCTGCTGTGTCCTAACACGGTGGAAGGGATGAAAGGGCAAAGAAAGGGGGGCAGACACTATATCCTCACATGGCAGGAGAGTAAGAAAGGTGAACTCTCTCTGAAGCCTCTTTTAGAAGATGCCCTCATGACTTAATCACTTCCTTAAAGGCCCAACTCTTACTATTACAACCATTGAGATCAAGTTCCAAATATTTTTTTTTGTTTGGAGAGGTTTTTGCTATAGGGCGCATACACTTGCCAGAAAGACAGAGAGAGACAGAGAGGCAGAAAGCGAGAAATCACCCCCTAGGGGGATGACCACACTGCAATCCCTTCTCCTCCCAGGATCTTGGGCACGCACGCATGCACACACGCCCGGCGAGAGTTTAAGCCACCGGGTCCGGGACTCGAACCACAGTCGACTACATGGGAGTCCAGCAACATAGCCTTTACGCTAATTGCGGGTCCCAAGTTCTAAATACTTGAATTTGGGGAGACATTCAAACGAGAGCAGGCAGAAACTCCTTGACCAACAAAGTACTCAGGCATTCAGAACAATATCAGAATTACCTGAGAAGCTAATAAACATAGAACCTTAATGAAATCGTGTAAGGTCTGGGTCGTCTTCCCCAGGTGATTCTGATGTGACCGCATCAAGGTCAAGTTCTATACTGCCTCTCAAGGAGTCAATGGAACTGCCCAAGGGCACCGAGAAAGCCAAGGGCAGGGATAAGCCTGACATTCAGGCTTCCTAATTACCAATTCTCTGCTGCTTTCTGTGATAAGATGCCTCTGGAGGCCAATTCTCAGGGTGAAAAGGGAAGATTCCCTGTAGACCAGTGCTGTCCAACAGAAATACAGCAGAAGTGGTATGTGTAATTTAAAATATTCTCATAGCCAAAGGTAAAAAGGTAAAAAAAATACAAATCAAAATAAAAAGGTTAAAAAAAGCAATTTAGCTGAATTTTATCAGTATATTTTCTTCAACCCTATATAGCCAAAATATTATCACAACTTAGAATTGATATGTTATTGAGTTATTTTACACTCTTTTTTTTTTTCATAATTTGTTTTTTTGGAGAGGTTTTTGCTATAGGGCGCTTGAGCTCACCAGACAGACAGAGAGAGACAGAGACAGAAAGTGAGAAATCACCCTCCAGAGGGGATGGCCACGCTGCAATCCCTTCTCCTCCATTCTCCTCTTGGGACCTTGGGCACACACACACATGCGCCCGGTGTAAGTCTAAGCCACCAGGTCTGGGACCCGAACCACAGCCGACCATGTGGGAGTCCAGTGACATAGCCATTACACTAACTGCTGGTCCCGTTTTTTTCATAATTTGAAAGACTTTGAGATTGTTGTCCTATACTTGTAACGCAATTTTTTTTGGAGAGGTTTTTGCTATAAGGTGCATGCGCTTGCCAGAAAGACAGAGAGAGACAGAGAGACAAATCCACCCAAAAAATGTCAGTTGTTCTTATCATATACATTATGAATCACATGCAATAAACAAAATATTGAACACTAACCCTGATTTGTCTCAAAGGGGAATCTGTTTTCAATCCGAACAATGTTATCTATAACTGTACATCAACTTTTCTTTTTAAATAACTACTTTACTTATTATTATTATTTTATTTGGACAAGAGAGAGATAAATTGCCAGGTCTGGGACTCGAACCACAGTCGGCTATGTGGGAGTCCAGTGCCTTAACCACCATACCACCTGCTGGTCCCTGTACACCAACTTTTAAATACAATGAAAAAAGGTCATGGATTCTATGCTCACCAAAAGTAACTGAGATAAAGAACAAGAAATATGGATGGTCTTTCTATTTTTTCTCTAATTCCAAGCTCTTGCACCCGATTTCCAGCAGCCTTTTTGACACCTACATGCTGTCTTACTCACTGAATACTTACTCATTGAATAATTCTCCTTTGCCAACGTCTTGCTGGGCACTCTGAGAAGAATGACGATGTCCATGAAGCAGACATCCCTGCAGCCTAATGGGAGAGATAAGAAACCAAGATTGAGGGCCAGCAGGTGGCATGGAGGTTTGGATGCTAGACTGCACATGGCCAACTGTACAGTTCAAGTCCCAGACACAGCAGCTTCAAAATCAGGCTAGCTGCGTGTGCGTGCATGCACAAGATCCTGAAAGAAGAATGGAGAAAGGATTATGGTATATCCATCCCCTCCCCAGGGTGATCTCTCTCTCTCTCCCTGGCACACACCCTACTGCCAAAAAAAAAAGAAAAGAAGGGAACCAGCAGTTAGCGTAATGGCTATGTCGCTGGACTCCCACGTAGTCGACCGCGGTTCGTGTCCCGGACCCGGTGGCTTAAAACTCACGCCGGGCGCGTGTGCGTGCGTGCCCAAGATCCCGAGAGGAGAATGGAGGAGAAGGGATTGCGGCGTGGCCATCCCCCCTGGGGGGTGATTTCTCACTTTCTGTCTCTAATGTCTCTCTCTGTCTGTCTGGCGAGCGCACGCGCCCTACAGTGAAAATCTCTCCAAAAAAAAAAAAAAAAGGAAAAGAAGAAAACGAAACCAAGAGTGATACGCCAATAGCAAGCACAACTCCAAAGTAGTAAGGAAAATTCATCATCTTGCTTTTCCTAACTGTAACTTTCTTTCTCACATAGGTAACATTTTGCAGTTACCAAGAGTGAAAACCTTAAAGTTTAACATCTGTTATCAGCTGAATTATGTACCCACAACATTTATATGTTGAAATCCTAACCCCTAGTATCTCAAAATGTATTTGGATGAGACCAGCAGGTGGCATGGTGGTTAAGGGCTCTGGATTCCCAAATGGCTGACCATGGTTCGACTCCTGGAACGGGCAGCTTGCTTTCGCGCTTTCTCTCTCTCTTTCACTCTGTCCCTCTCTGGAAAAAGTTAAAAATAAATAAATAAAGTTAAATAAAAATAATTCATTAAAAAAAAAAAGTATTTGGAGACAAGCCCTCCAAGCAGATGATGAAGTTAACATGCAGCAGGACAACAGCGAGCCTGGAAGCATACAAGAAGGCCTTAGAAGAAACCAAACCTGTTGACATCTTGATCATGGACTTCCAGCCTTTAGAACTGTGAGAAAGTAAATTTCTACAGTTTAAGCCATCCACTCTCTGGTGTTTTGTTATGGCAGCCCTAGCAAATGAATTCCATCTCCTCTCCCTTGGTCTTCAGATATAAAAAAATTAGGATCATTAACTTTTAAGACCTATTAACTGAACATATGCGTTTGCTTTAAAATACTCAAGGGGAAAACGTGTGGGAGGGGAGGAGGAGAAGCAAGATCAGCAAGGATCAAAGTAGGATCATTGTTTCATGTGAGCTCATTATATTATACTTTGGGTATGTCTGAAAATTGCCATCGCTGGGAACCAGCAGTTAGCGTAATGGCTATGTCGCTGGCCTCCCACGTAGTAGACCGCGGTTCGTATCCCGGACCCGGTGGCTTAAAACTCACACCGGGCGCATGTGTGTGCGTGCCCAAGATCCCGAGAGGAGAATGGAGGAGAAGGGATTGCGGCGTGACCATCCCCCCTGGGGGGTGATTTCTCGCTTTCTGTCTCTATGTCTCTCTCTGTCTGTCTGCCGAGCGCACGCGCCCTACAGTGAAAATCTCTCCAAAAAAAAAAAAAAATTGCCATCGCAAAGAATTAAAGTAATAAAAAATCCGACTACAAATAGTCTATAACGATATCATAAAACACAGACCAATACCTGTTTAAAAAAGTAAACCTGCTAAACAGATGTACATTAAAATGTTAATCATTATCTGTATCCTAGTATGACAGGTAATTATTAATGTTTTTCTTTGTATACTTCTGAGTTCTCTACAATGAGCAAGCATTTCTTTATGAGTAGAATGTTAAGTATAAATATTGTTTTAAATAAAGTTTAAGTGAAAGTGCTTTCAAAATGTTACAGTTCAAACTCACTAACCCTGCTTTCAAAATCCTCTACAATAAAATTCCAACCTCCCTCCTAAACCACTCCTGATGTCAGTTTCCTATGGTTGAATACGTTCACAGATTGTCCATTTTATTTCCTAAATTCCAACTCTGGGATTCTAAACTGTGGGATCAAGAATATCCACAGATAGAAGGAACACAAACTCCTACCATTCTATTAGCTCTGTTAGGCAGGATAAGTAACTTCGTTCTGTCTTCATTTTCACATCAGTAAAATAGAGCAAGAACAGGACCCACATTACAGGGCACCTGTAAAGATTAAACGTATTAATTTTTGTAAAGCCCTTAGAATGATACTTAACTCAAGGTTTAGCAGTTATCTATTACTAATATGTATTTTCCCAATTATTCAAACAATAACTGAACATCCCTGTAGCAGAAACATCTAATCTGTGTTGTACCTTCTCCCACTTGTCCATCTGAAAGAGAAGAGGAATGCTGAGTCCAGTCACGGTGGAGCTCTGCTGTGAGGAGCCCAGGTTCACTCCCTTCTTCTATAAGTCAGGGCTGCGGGAGGAAGGAAAGAAGGCTGGGAGGCACCATGATCTTGTCTGTAGTCCTGCAAAATCCACAGAGGACCTCTTCTGACTCCATCTGTGAGTGAAGCGCTTTCTTTAACAAACAGCCTCCTTTGCTGCAGGGATCAGAAAAGGAGAGTAGGTAATACTTCGAAGAGCTTCCAAAACAAGGAATACCTTTTTGGTTACTTTTAAGATTAACAGACAACACCTTGCAAAAATACCTACATCGTTATAAATATTTTACTTGTATTTTGGCATTAATTCTCAAGACAAATGCACAAACTAAACACTAGTAACATTTCCTTTTACAGAAGAAGAAACTAAAGTACCGAAAGAATTGCCACTCAACGCTATGCCACTTAGGAAGAACCAGAGCTGGTGGAAGGTGAGCGAAGGCGGGCTGGGCTGCCGCGAGCCCAAAAGTTTCCAGGAAGGCCCGATTCAGGTCCGCCTCCAACCCGGCCGCCCTAAACACTGGGGGCCCAAACGGCGGGAGGCAATCAGCCGCCCCTGACCCTCAACCCCGCTCTCCACGGCTTCTCTTCCCAGCGACCGAGGTGTGGATCCTGGTGATCCTACAACCAAGCCATAAATGATTTTTAAAAAGGTCGCAAGGTGCAGAGCTCACCTCGCTCAGAAGAACCCAGGCCGCCAGCTCTACCTCCTGCAGCGGAAGTGCCTCGGACTTCGCGGAGTGCGGGAACTACACTTCCCAGAATGCCGCAGCACGAAAGCCGCTGCCCCGCCCCTCGCAGAGCTCTGGATCATACGTACATCCCCATTGCCCCGTGAACCAAGTACCACGGCCAACGCGCGCAAGTGCCCCAGCCACCGAAGCGTGTGGACTACATGTCCCAGAGTGCTCTGGGGCGCCGAGCTTCCCGCCAGCCTGTACTTTTGCTTTGAATTAGCAGGTGGAATCTAAACTAATGCTGGTGGAACTCAGCCAGCGTTTCCCTTTTCTTGGTCTTCTCTTTTACAGGTGATGGGAGTTGGAAATGTGAAGAAAAAAAAAAAAAAAAAAAAGAGAGAAAAAATAATTATAAAGAAACGCTATATATAAACTAAAACTAGGATAAAACTTGTGAGCATTGAGTAAGTCTGTTATAATGGCCTGGATTCAGCTGTGACCAGGAACATAATAAAAAGGAGATGCAACCATAGGGCAGGACATAAAACAAAGGCAGCAAAATCATCTTTTCTTTTGCGTTGGTTTTCTTGCAGTGGCATTGGGGAAAATACTGCACTATGGAACTATACAAGTATACAAAATCGTGAAAAAATTGTTTTTGAATTCAGATTAAGAGATCATATCACCTACTAACTGTTCTTGTAATCAGGAATTCATGGAGGTGTCTTATCAGAGAAACCATTTGAAACTAGGGAGTCCATGATATTCAGTAAGAAGAGAGCGGGCAATGTGAAGGGTTGTCATGAAACTAACAAAAAAATACAGAACGGTATGCTATCCACTTTTCTCCCAAGCAGAAGCTAAATACATTTCCAACTTTCTTATGAAAATACTTATTTATTTATTTTAGAGATCTGTGCTATAGGATACATGAACTTCCTGAAGAGAGAGAAACAGAAAGCAAGAAATCATCCCCTGAGGGGATGGCCATGCTGCAATTCCTTCTCCTCCATTCTCCTCTCAGGATTCTGGGTATGGACAAACATGACCAGCATGAGTTTCAAGCCACCTGGTCCACAACTCAAACTGCAGTCAGCCATGTAGGAGTCCAGTGACATAACCTTCAGGGTTGTCCAGAGATGACGCAGTGTCACAGCTCTTCAGGGTTGTCCAGACAAGACGCAGTATCACAACTCTTCAGGGTCATCCTGACAAGATGCAGTGTCACGGGTCTTCAGGGTCGTCCAGACAAGACGCAGTATCACAACTCTTCAGGGTCATCCTGACAAGATGCAGTGTCATGGGTCTTCAGGGTCTTCAGCATCGTCTGGCGATTGTGGGCCAGGGATCGTGGTTATATACATGTTGGTGGGCAGTGATTGGTTAAATGAAGGATTGTAAAAGGTGGGTTATGATTGGTTGCTTTTGTGGACCAATCATGAGGTGCCAGATATGCAAATCTGAGGGATTCTAAGCTCACCGATTTGCTATGGTAAGTGGCCAATCAGAGTATGGTTTTGAAGGGGAGATTTTGAAGGGAAGCCAATTGTGGCCTTTATGGGAAGTGGACAATCAGAGTATGGTTTTGAAGCTCGTTTTGAAGGGGAGCCAATCCTGGCCTTTGGCACTGTGTAATTGTTTGCTCTCTGCTGTTGCGCAACCTCCCACAGCTGAAAATATTTTTAAATGGGGAACCAGCAGTTAGTATAATGGCTATGTCACTGGACTCCCACATAGTCCCAGACCTGGCAGCTTAAAACTCACGCCAGGTGCGTGTGCGTGCGTGCCCAAGATCCCGAGAGGGGAGTGGAGGAGAAGGGATTGCTGCGTGACCATCCCCCCTGGGGGGTGATTTCTCACTTTCTGTCTCTATATCTCTCTCTGTCTGGCGAGTGCACGCGCCCTATAGCAAAAACCTCTCAAAAAAGGGGGAAAAATATTTTTAAATGGAAGCTGACTACAAAGGAGGAGCTATAAATGTTTGAATAATGTCCAAATGAGCCATATAAATCATGAATAACTCCTTCTACATAAAGAGAAAGAACAACATATACATACATATATATTTAAAGTCAGTGGCTTAAAAGGCAGGAATTATCCTAAAGAAGAGAATCATGTCATATGACCCCTTAGTTAATAAAGATTCCTCCTCCCATCAAATCAAAAACATGTCAAAAGATACACAACTAAAGATTAGGATCGAAAGAAGTAAACGCTCTGGCATGGGCTGAAGGCCAGCTCCAAATACCTCCTGAAATTGTGTAAGGTTGACCTTTACACAATTGCTATGGCCTCAAAATCTAAGTGAAGCAGAAGCACCTCCATCTTTGAACCTTCCATTACACTTGCTTCCTCCTTTTGCCCAGAGTAAACAGAGTGATTAATAGTCTTACTGTCTCTGCTAACTAGCTGGAAACCTTTCTGTTTAGATGTTCCTTAGCAACATAACTGCCAGTCACCAGACCCCTGCCCTGAGCCATTAGGACCATTAAACAAAGGTCTGGAGAGTGCCCTTAGAAATTAATAACCTGCTTGATTTAGTTTCTGTAATTGCTGTCACATAGGAACCCCACTCCCTTTCCTCTTCACTCCTTCCTCATTTTCCATTGTAATCACCATACCAACCCAGAAATGATTGTGAGTTTTGCCTTTATAAGTTCCCCTCTCCTTTCACTCAGGGATGCGGTGTCTTTGAGAGACATGAGTCTTCCCGTAAGCTGCCAGCAAAAAACCTCCAATAATTTGGCTATGTCTGGATATCCTCTTATTTCTCACTGATTTGACTATAACATTTGGAGGCCCCAGTGAGATCAGTACCTACCTGTACTTGGGTGAGGCAACCAAGGATAACAGCCTTGCTCAGGCCAGCTGCCAGCTACCCAGAGGGTGGTCTAGGGGAGGTGTGTCACCCGGAATTTCCCAGGACCCCAGAGCCACCTTTCGGGATTGTTGAAATCCAGGTGAGAGAAGCTGACTACTTTAAAACTGTGGCGTTCTAGCAAAAAACCTCTGGAGACATCTTTTCTGGTATTCCTGTCTTGTCCCAAACCTTCTTTGGGATCGGCAAGTTGGTGAGTACAGAGTTGGTGCAGAGGTACTCCCTGAGGAGTCAGACCTGCTAGACTGGGGGGTTTGAGTCCCTTCTAAGCAGTTAGATCCAGGGCTGATTGGATGCAGTTATAAAAACTCTACTTAGATTCTGCTAAGACATTGTTGGAATCTGGGGCTGAGTATTAGGGATTTAAGTCCCCCTGGCCCCTAGAAGGTTTGCAGTGAGTTCTCTCTTTTATGGGCCCTTTCTGCTTTTGCTGTCATTTTAAGTCTCAGGGATTTAAGTCCCCCCAATGAGTGAGTTCTATTTTATGAGAACTTTCTGCTTTTCCTGTCATTTTAAATATTTCCTCCAGACCGTCCTAAGAGACATCACTTGGTTCTATCCTTTGTCCTCCTTGTTTGAGGAGATCAACTGACCTTGTCTATCAGGGAAAGTTCCAAGATCTTCATCCTACTGAATCTGATCTTTTTTTTTCCCTCCTCTTTTTAATTTTATAATTGGTGGGAGGGAGTGTTTTCAGCCTCTTGTACGGATGGTGAACCAGTGACTGTGTGACTGTGTTTGTGGCTCCACGGCCTCAGCTGTGGAGTCTGAGTGGGTCCTCACCTGCAGTTCCGTGGTGACCTAATACAGCGTAGGGCCGTACTGGGCACTGGGAGTTTCCATCCCCCACTGCGTGCCTAGTCCAACCAGGGATTTATACCTAGCGGCCAATGCTCAGAGGTACCTAAGTTCACGCGAGGGACATGGCCTGGCAGACACCTGAATAGTCACCTCCTTGGAGGGAGCACCCATCCCTTGTTTGTTTAATGCCACCATCTCTTTTTTTTAGAATTATTTATTTACTTAAAAATTATTTATTTACTATAAATATAAATATTTACTAAATAAAATAATTTTATTTATTTTAATTTGACCAGAGAGAGACATAGAGAGAGAAAGAGGGAAAGTGAGAAAGTAAGGCACCAGGTCTGGGACTTGAGCCATGGTTGGCCATGTCAGAGTGTCCAGCGCCTTTACCACCACACCAGCTGCTGGCCCCATCTAACATCACCATCTTGAGAAGAACAGAGGGAAGGGCTACTCCTCTTTCATGACAGGCAGGCCCCTCTGTCCTTGGGAGCTGGGTCTTCTGTTTCTTGAGAAGTTCATAGCGGAAAGTCCCAGGAAAGGAGCTTCTGCAGATTCTTTACCATCTCGCGCTACAGCCCAAGGACTTCTTTGCTGGAGTGGGTAGATGTGGCTGCTAGACTCTCTTTTATTTCTTTTTCTTTTTTTTTTGGAGAGGTTTTCGTTATGGGGTGCGTGCACTCGCCAGATAGACAGAGAGAGACATAGAGACAGAAAGCGAGAAATCACCCCGCAGGGGGGATGGTCACGCCGCAATCCCTTCTCCTCCATTCTCCTCTCGGGATCTTGGGCACGCACGCACACGCGCTCAGCGTGAGTTCTAAGCCACCGGGTCCGGGACGCAAACCGTGGTCGACTATGTGGGAGTCCAGCGATATAGCCATTACGCTAACTGCTGGTTCCCATGTCTGCTGGACTCTTGACAGGACTTTACAAGGCTCTTATCCTAACCCATTTCCTCTGGTATCAGGAGGAGTTTGCCAGGGCCTTGGTCTGCCTTCTCCTAGTTCACCTTCACCTGGCTGAGAGCCCTGTCCTCCCCTGTGTTCTCTCAGCTGCCTCCTCAGGGTCCCTGCTTTTTAGATTTTTCTGCTGCCTTAGCCTTCTGGCATTTCACCTGCACTCTGAGAAAGGCCAAAGTCCCCCTTGAGAGTCCAGTGCCCCAGCCATCGAGCCATCTGCTGGCCTCCAGAAGCCCCACTTGAAAATACCAAAGAGCATACCTGCCTTTCAGAAATCATGGGAGGACAGAACAGCTCCTTTAAAACTCCCTTAAAAAAAACAGGACAAGGGAACCAGCAGTTAGCGTAATGGCTATGTCGCTGGACTCCCACGTAGTCGACCGCGGTTCGCGTCCCGGACCCGGTGGCTTAGAACTCACGC